TTTTTCTCATGTGTTGTAGTTAATAACCTGACTTCAGTTAGGTTTAAATACCTTGCACATCTCGTAGCATATATCACTACTGTCCCTCACTATGGGAAACAGTTTTCATTTTACAATCACATTTTGGAAACCTGGTATTACAAATATTTTTGAAATTTCTTCGACTTACATAACATGCTGAAATACTAAGAAAGACTACAGAAAATTTTGCAAAATGTACAAATTGTTTGTAAAGGTACACTGTTTTATACAGCAAATACTTTTGAATAACTATAGAGAAGTAGGCCATTGATCACTTATAACAAATATGTAGAATTCAGCATACAAATTTCAGGAATATGTTAGTTTTTCTGATTTTTCTGTTTTTCTGATAATGCTGCCAAAATAATTCCAACAACTTGAAATAGATTACTAATACTTTCAAAGCAATCTTTCAGGATGATTTTTTTTGAGATATTATCTGAGTGTGGTTGAGTATTGTCTTTATTTAAGTTCTTATGAAACTACCTGAGGGCTTCTAGAAGGCAAACAAGAGGAAACAACTCAAGTTTTTTGCCCACTTTAGGAAAGAATGAGAAAATATACATTGCAGCAATTTCATTTGAGATTTCTAGTAACTTCTAGAGTTATTAACAGCTGTGTCTTATAACAGGGAGGTCTGTTTAGTAGGGCTGAAGGTGCAAACCTACTTGCTCAAAGTTGTGGTCGAAGGAGATGGTCAGCCTGGTTCCATTTGAGAGAGAAACGAAAGACCTGGATTTTTTTTCTTAGTAGTCAGAACTTCTGTTGAAAAATTGGTAGTGGTTGCAAATGTAGGTATAAAGGAGATAAGGAAAAACCCCACAATTTAGGTTAATTGTGTGAACTTTGTTATATTCTTAGGTATTGTGACAGTGTAATTATGAATATGATTCCTCATAATATTTTTCTGATACTTTTGTCATTGAGACACACAGGGAACTATGCTGCATCAGAATACCACCAGTGTGCTGTGAATATATGCATTGTCTGAAGAGTCCCTACCTTATTAATTCCCAAATATGGAGGGTGCATGGTGTGGGTTGTTAGGTGGCAGTGAGGTGGAATGCCTGCTTTGAATTCTCTTTCTGCCACTGCCACCAGAGTTGCTATGGGATGCCAAGTAAATCACATAAACTGACGCAGTCTCATTTAGTCATTAATCGTGTGTTACCGATTTTCTTAATGTTCACCACTGCAGTAAGATATAACTGGAACAGTGCTTTAAGTATGTGCAACAAAACTGTTAAGTATACTTGACATTGGGGGGTGTCCAGATAGGCACCCAGAACTGGTATTAGTCTCTCTTTGTTTACTTTCTTACATGAAAGTAATAGTCTGACCTAATCTTGCAAAGATTATGGAAAAGAGCATCACTAATATTTGCAGGGTAGTAGGTGCCATTGCAGTGAGTGATGAATTGTACACTTAAGCAAGAAACCTATTTATCTTTTGTAGGAGAACATGCAGTGCTTTTATTTATATATTTAGGCCTGACCCTGCAGAAGATTTTCTGGGTTTTCTCTTATTTAAATTATTGTAAAATAGAATTCTTAGTATAGCGATCAAACAGCCTGTGGGAAAGTATATAATAATTAGTCATTATTGTTCAGTCCAATGCAGTTTTAAACCAACACAACCTACCTGCCTTTTGAAATGAAAGTATTAAAGCAGCAAGCATTTTATTCTAAACAAATCTCATGTTTAAATCTTCATTCTGTTTTATTTACTTAAGCTCCTCTTTAGAGCAAAATATGAAGACTTTACAGTCTTCTCAGAATCTTATAAGCTAAGAAAATAATATAATCCATATTTGATGGATTTGGCAGTAAGATATCTTATGGTCAAAGTAAGCCTGTTGTGATGGTTCAGACTTGGCTCCCTGCCAAATGTACAACCCCCCAGTAGCAACCTCCCCCACTTTCCCTCTTCCTTCTTCCCCCAGGGCAAAGGAAAAAAAAAAATTATGCAAATTGAAGAACCCCCCTCAAAAAATCAAGCTAGTTATATAAAAAATATATTTTATGTATATTACAGTTAAGATGCTATGTACACAGCAAACGGGAATCCAAACACCCCCCGAAGGGATAGGGAAAGGGGAAAAAGGGACAAAAGGAAACAAAAAGGGACACCGAATAGATATGCACAATCAAACCCGAGAACTAGTAAAATAACTAGTAAAACAAATCTCACCATGTCCCTTAGAAAGCAGGATTGGCAGACACTGCCAGCACTCTCCAAGCTTCCACGTGGCAGGTCAGTGGATGCTGCAGGCCTCAGCCTTAGATAAGCGAGACCAATGCAGGGACCCACTGTTCCCGAACTTCGGCGGAAGAATTCTTATTTATACCACGATTTACGTAAAAATCATATGGAATACTGGGAACACTGCCCCTTCCTTGGTTACAAACTGGTAACCAGGGAAGACCTAGATTAAAACCACCACACCTGTACACATTAAAAGACATCGGTGTGTGATGTTAGGGGGCTTCAATTTCAAGCGTATAGGTTGCAGTCTTTAGACTGAACTCTGGACCAAGCTCCTTATGTTATGAATGACACCTCAGAAAATATCATCCAAAACAGCTAACCGAGTAGGCAGTGTCCAGATCGTCCCCTGTGGTAGCCCTCTGTCCCCTCCCTCTGCTAACCAACAGGGAATTTTCAGAGATAGGCATGTGATGGTGTGTCTAAGGTTCCTGCATATATTTCATGTTCAGTGGTTGTTGGGTGAAAGGCAGAAGCAGACCCAACATTTGAAGATACGTGGCTGCTTTGGCAATACCTATTGTGTCAAAATCCCTGAGAGACCTGAACAAAGGCACAGGTAATTTCTGAAGCATATTCCAGCTTGGGGGTGATCTTGGTACAAGCCATGGGGCCCTGGAAGTCCAGAGCCTTTCTGGGCAGGCAGGGAGGCGCAGGGCAACTTTACAGGCAAAATAAAACTGTATTCAGTGTTAGGCAGGAGACAAATTAAACTTTTGCAGCATTGTGGTTTTTGAGTTTTGGTACTTTGGCTCCATCTCAGACACTATTAAATGCCTTTTCTGCATTTACCGAAAGACTCACATTGTAACGCATTAAGTTGAACCTCGACTTTTCTTGTATCTACCTATTATTTTCTTCTCTTTCATTGTCATGTTTGTTGTTATGGACACATTTGGCCACTGTCAAATTGAACGATTTTTTGCATACTTGGTTGGCTGACTCTTTTTTTTTTTTTTTTTGCTAATTTGCTGGTACAGTCAGCTGTGCCAGTAAAGCAATTATGCAAAATTGTGTATAAAGGTTTAATGATACAAAACAGTGCTCATCACAAATCTAATTGTGATTCTCAACATCCTTCAACAAGCTAAAGGTTTTGAGACATTTGGATTAGCATCTCTGTGGTTAATACCTATTTTATTAAAAATATATTTAGTTTAGCAGATAGGGGAACATTTAATGTACATGCTACTGTTAACTTTGAAAGGAAGCAATAAACAAAAATATGATTTGGAGGGATTCAGATAATGGTTTATATGCTTTCAGGTGGTGATTACAGGAAGTCTACTTTATTACATATCTCATGAGGTTATATCGTTACCTATTTTACATTACAAGTGATAACTATATATGGTTGATGGTGCGCTGAATCTAATACAACACAAAGATTAAATTTAAAATGGGCACTGTAATGAAGCAAATAATGTGTCTGCATACTGAAAACAAAGAGATAGCAGGTTACAACAGAACTGACAGGTACAGTGTTTGATATCTGGTTTCCACTTGGATAACTGAACTGGTTACTTTCAGTAGTAAAGCAGTACTTGGTAATGCTTTCACGGAAGCAAAAAAGGGCATTGGCTTTTCTTATCCATAATAGAGTGTTTAGAAACTTTCCAAAGCTGACATTTCTCCCTCATGTTTGCATTGATATTTTCTGATTTCTGCCCTACTGCTTTCCTCAGAACCCTGGCTGGGATTTAATCCTACCACAGAAAGTATTAGGACTGACATTTAGTAGAGTCTCATTTGTGTCAAGTCCTTATAGACTGCAGGGAGAGACCTTCTGCCACAGCTGTTAGAGACAAAGCACACACTACTTCCATCAGGCAAATGAGGAGGGAGGGTGAAAAGTGTCTCTCTGTCCCTTTGTTGGTTAACAATTCCTGGCTGTATGTTGTGTTTGCACTAAGGAAGTGTTAAGGACTGTAAGGACAGGGAAGAGGGAATAACCAAGAAGTGCTTTCTGCTACTCTTTAATCAGGGTCAGACTTGAATGCAGAATTATGAGGGCGAGTTCTCTTCAGTTGGTTCACTCCAGGTAGTCAAATATGTGAGCTGTTTTGTACTGAACAGAGCAGTCTGTAGCTTGTATAATCAGCTTTGATTTACTGCTTTCTGAAAACAGAGGCCTAAAGCAGTCAAGGAAGTTTCAGGAATGTTAATTGTTTGTGTACATGAATGAGTTTATAAATGGTTGTTTTTGCAGTCTTCCCAAAGCTCATCGAGGGTAACTGTGTCACTGCCAGAGAAAAGAGAACGATTGTTTTCTTTTCTTCACAGTCTGCTAATATTTTCAGGGCTCGATATAATGTGCCTTTAACAAACCATGAACAACTCTCCCTACTGAGTCATTGCATCCTGCCTACATTCAGTGTAGGCAGAGAACCATTATACTAATCCACTCTTCCATCATATCTCTAGCAAACACATGTGTTTTCTTCAAATATTTATTTTGATGCAAAGAGCGTTAAGTTTTTTATTTGGCAACACAAGCAATTGGGAGGTTTGACTTCTAAACTTTGTAACTTTATTTGCAGTAGTCCTGCTTTTCAGCTATGACATGTTTTGAGAAATGTATGACAGTCATATTTGGCTTTAAGGTAATAATCCTGCCACGTCACAGCAACCTTAGGATAATTCATCTCTGCAGGTAGGATAGATTTAAAAGGCAGATGCTGAAATGATTGGTCTTTTGCTTTGTTTTTTAACAGGTACGGTTATATGCAAGGCCTGATGCAATCAGAAGAGGATCGGGGGACTATGCTCTAAATATTACAAGGAGTCTCATTGAGTTTTATGAAGATTATTTTAAAGTGCCCTATTCCCTTCCAAAATTAGGTAAGATTTTCTGCAGAATGTGAAGTTCATCCAGAAATGAGAGAATAAGTCAGCTATTTTAAAGGTATTTTAAGACTGTAATGTGTTACATTTCAAGGTAAGAAATGTTTGGGTTAATTTAGAAGAATCAATAAGGAATTTTTCCTTGCAGAGGAAGGGAAGACAAATTGTTCCTTCTCCTACCTAGAAATGAAAGGGGCAGGAAGCAGACAGTACTTACATTTGTTAGCCAAGGGGTAGAGAACTTGAGACCTTTCCTTGTTACATGGGTTGGCGGGTTTTTTTGTTTGTTTTTTTTTGATGGTATCTATTTTGGTCCTTATTTCCATTAGATAGCCACGGGGAGACGTTTGTTCTGTAATATTTGTATCTTGGTGTCTCAGCCTTAGATGGTGAACTTAAGTGAAAGTATTTGTGGAGACTGGGAACTTGTAACAGTGCAAGACTGTTTTTTTTTTGTTTGTTTGTTTTGGTTTTTTTTTTGGGCTTATGTGGTTTATTAATGATGATTAATAGACAAGCTTAATTGTCTTATTGCTTATTGGAAGAATTGCTGTGAACTTGTTTTGCTGTGAACCCATCTATTTCTATTTCCTTTTAAAATAGTTTCTTCTCATCTTCCCTTTTCCCACAGTCAGTTTTTCTCCTACACGCTTAAATACCTTACACCATATTATTACGCCCTCCCTCCTTTGGAGCGTGTTTGATCAAGATCCGGAAAAATCTATTGCTCAGCAGCAGAAAGAGACCTTCTATTTGATCAGAATTGTTAGAGTTGTAACCACAGTTTCCTCCCAGGAACTCGGGGTTTATTTCATTAAATCCCCTGCCTGCTGAGTAACTTTCTTAGACTTGCAGCTAATGGTGTAGGAGATGGATAAAGTAATTGATGTTGCTAGATGAGGGTATTGCATGATGATATGCACAAACTTTCCATGTATGCTTTCATACATGACTTCAGGTATGTAATGATGTTTTGTAAAGGAAGTTATAGACTTACAGGCGTGAAAAATGTAACAGGGAAAAATAATCAAGAACTTGATTATAATATAAAAGATGAAACAGAATTGCTTGGGTTGGAAGGGACCTCAAAGATCACCTAGTTCCATCAAAACATCAGAACATCCAAATATCATTACTTCAGGTAGTTTATTGAGGATACCAACTAGCAGCAGGCAATAGTGACTGTATCTGCTTCAGAGTATCTTTCAAAATTGCAACATATGGTCTTTAAACTCAGCATGCTGTATTCATTGTCATTATGCTGTGATATTACCTTTTAAAAATATTTGATTGGAAATGAGTTTGTTCTAGTTTGGATCTTTTTTGAAAAAAACAGGAGACACAGTCACAAGTAAAACTGTATTTTTTCATCAAGTATTTGTAGTGAAATTGTTGAGTTAGTAGGAAATGCTGCTTGAAAACTTTAGCTATTCTGTAGTGATACTACAGAGAATAATTTCAAAAGTTTTGTGTACTACAATGAGGTTAAATTTATTTATTGTAAATATAGGAAGAAAAGTTTCAAAACTCTCTCAGTGATGTAAATATTTTTGAAATGTTTTTGCATGTGAATACAGATATATTTGTTCCCAGTTCATCCAAACACTTATTGTTATGTTTAAGCATGTGCTGTTGTCTTTAACCTGAAAAAGCGCTGACTTTTTATATTTTTTAAACTGCAAAATGGAAGGGCAGGAACAATAATCTGGTGGGTGAATAGAAGGACTAAAAATGGTGATACTGTAGTCTATTTACAATAGGCATTTTGCAGTAGTATTAAAGAATTTTCTAAATGGAAAGTCAAAACAACCTTAGTGACAGCAGTGGAAAAACCATGTACATAGGAAGATGTGTTAATGATACTGAAGATGCACCTGGGCTTGTAGACTTAGGACACTCACTTGATTCAGTGCTGTCACCTCTACGAAGGATTGAATACTTTATTAAGGTTTTAAGAAAAATGATAATGTTTTTATGGGACATTTTAGGAGTTTGTCATTTCACTTCCAAATATGAAAGTGGGAGTGAAAAATGAAGAATGTACTTCAGAAAGCTTTTTAATGGCAGCATCAGTTTTGTAGAAAATGTTCCATTTCAAACATAGATGTTTTAAAAAAAAATTGTTTCATGTATTGTCCAGGTCTAGCAAAAGTGAACCTAAGCAAACGTAATAATTTTGGTTGAAAGCACAATTTATGTTTACAAAATAATTCTGGCCAGTTTATTATGCAGGTGCTATACTAGCTACTGAGTGACATGTTGTTAGTGTCAGTGGTGTATGCTGGGGGGGTCTGCGTGTTAGAGTTGGAACCACAGGTGATCCTCCCTGGAAAAGGGACCTACAACCCTTGGCAACCCTACAAGCACTTGGTCATCTGTGTGGTCCGTTTGAACTCTGTATGGTTGGAGTACGTGAGGACATTTATGCTCTTCAGATGTATTGCTGTATCAGTGAGGTCTGTGTTAATTTGTTCCCTTCCTATTCATTGAGGTCCATTTCCAGGGATCCTTGGCCCTTGAAACTAGTGCTCCTCATCTGATTTTGTAATAAACTGGCTAATGTTTTCTACAGGAACCACTTTCTCCTGACACTCTTTACTCCTGACTGTTTTTGACTAGACTTTCATACTGTGCTTACATGTGGTCAGATGGCTGTGGCCAAGATTTTTTAGATCTTATATGGCCTGTTCTGGCTTATGAATGCCATGGAACAATAGATTTGTTTACCAATTGATGTGAAGTCTGCTAATGAATGTAAATTCGGAATTGAATCACCAATTTCCACAGTTAAAAGGTCTACTTAGCTTGTAGATCTGTGCTTTTTTCCCCCCCCCCACTTTACTCTGAACTGGAGGATGCTTGTGTAGGGTTTCAAACCAATAATTTTTATATGAATTTAGTTTCTGAAAAATACGTCAGATCTTTTAAAAAACCTAAATTTATTCAAGACTATAATATCATTATAAACACTAGTTAAAATGATAGGTAGATAAAGTATTGGGTTTTATTTAATCTAAAAAGTATGCAGAAGGATTTTTAATTGTGTTCCTATGACAGTGAATATAAAATATTTCTGTATTTATATCACAGTTATTTTTAATTCAGTTTGCAATACGCAAACAATGCTTTTTTGTATGCATAGAGCTTTTTCTTATGAGGATCTTTGAGGCTGGAATAGTCTTGAATTTTTCCTTCTGAAGCCCTGACCGGTTGCTCTTTTGAAGTGCGCACAGCTTAGAAATTTAAAAGGAAAGAAGAAAACCAAGCCAAAAACTGACATCAAAACAGAGTCTTCAAAGGTCAAAGTCACATGAGGGGGAATGATAAGGTAATGAAGCGCTCTTTACATGTGAACAGTTGTGACTCTTAAGTTGTGAATGATTTGAAGTGTAGGGGCTGACTGCCTTTTCCAGTCAAGACTGGAGGGTCACCCAGTGTCATTAGCAGGTGGCAGGTCCAAAGAACACAAAAAGATCACTGTTAGTGGAGCAGGTGGTAGATTTGTGCAACTCCTTATCAAAAGAGATGGTAGATGCAAAAAAATTATAGAAGTCCAGAGAGACATGGATAAGTACTTGGAAAGGTGCTCCCCAGGAGAAAATCCTACGGTTTGAAAATAGAAGCTAGTACTTGGAAAGGTGCTCCACAGGAGAAAATCCTACGGTTTGAAAATAGAAGCTAGGAAATACTCAAGAGAGCTATTTATACTTCCCTGGTCTTATTCTTTCCTGTACATTTGCTTGTGGCTGCTGTTGGAGAGAATACTGAGCAGAGCAGTCTTTTTGTCTGAGCTGGCAAGGTTATCTGTACGTTCATAGTCTCCCTGTTTCCCAAGAGTTTTTATTAAAGGGCCACAGAATCTCTTTTCCAGAATGCTTTGTGTACTGGAACTGGGGAACTTTATAAGGCTCCAATTATGAAAGGCTACAAAAACTTCACGTGTGGTGCATAAATGAGCCATTTGTATGAAGATTTTTGGGTTTCTGGGCTTTGGTTTGCTTACTCTTAACAGCATTGCAGTATCATTGTGTTAGTGGGATGTGTTTGTTATTTCTCTGAAAACTTGTTTTACAACTCATTTTATTCTGAGTACTGTATTTAAATATCCGTGTAATTAGCATAACCACTATGGACAGTGTAAAGGTACTTGGGTGTCTCAAGCGTTGGACATAAAGTGCCTGACTCAAAGACACTTTGCTTGGATTCATTCAACTTTAGGTACTCAACTGGCATGTCTAACTTAGCAAGCTGATTGCCCTAGGTTCCTTATTCATCAATAGAGGAGATATTCCTGTGGATGGTTTGAATCTTATATGGGCAAAGTCTCCTGTTTGAGCTGCCTAGGTAAGAGGAAAAATGTTTTATTAAACCCTGAGCTTAGTTTGTCATCTACGCCCTTAAACTTTCATGATGTGCAGACTTGAGAAGGAGACATTTAGTGGTGGAGAGCTGTGAATTAGGGTTGGAAAGAACTTGGACTTCTCAGAAAGCTTTTAATTCCCTATAGAAAATGTCCCAAAAGGTGGAAATACGAACAGCTGAAGAATCTACTTTGGGACATGACTGCATATGTTACAGAAAACTGGATAAAAATAACCCAACTGTTTTGTCTTAAGGTCAGTGAAAATGAATCAATGTGTAATTTATAATTACTGTAATTTATGACAGCACTATTAAAAGCACTGTTAAAATACCATAGAATGGCCTGGGTTGGAAGGGACCCTTAGGATTATATAGTTCGAAACCTCCTGCCATGGGCAGGGACACCTTCCACTAGACCAGGTTGCTCAAAGCCCCATCCAACCTGGCCTTAAACATTTCCAGGGATGGGTCACCCACAACTTTTCTGACCAAGCTGTTCCAGCACCTCACCACCCTCACAGTAAAGAATTTTTCCCTCATATCTGATCAAAACCTACTTTCCTTCAGTTTAACCCATTCCCTGTTGTCCTGTTGCTATATGCCCTTGTAAAAAACCCTTCTCCATCTTCCTTGTA